GAGAATCTAGCCGGAACTGGCCCGAGTGTATTTTGCTATCTGGGAAAGCTCTCTCTCTCTCTCTATCTCTTTGATGTGTGCACTTTTAAAGTGACACCTCTGTTATTTAATGTAATCAAACGGAAAAATCTAAATAAATAAGACATTAATTCGTTGCTCTTTACTCAGAATGTGTACGTTATACAGTGAAGAAACAGCTAATGAGATTTGATTCTGTTTCATAGCTATTCATTTTAATAAGCTGAACTGTTTGCTAATGTATTTGCTGCTAATGTATACTATTTATTTTTTTACTTTTTTAAATAATAATAATAATAATAAAACATATTACTGACCATTTAACTGTTTATTTACAACGAAACAGCTCCAAATGAGCATATTTAGTAATTTGGGGATTTTTTAAAGGGGGTCTTGGGAATCCCTTATTATGGTGTGCATATGCCTCATTTGCACATCCCAATGTTGACAGGTATAATTTTCATGCCTAAACAAAGCAAAAGCAAAGAACAGAATCACATTTAAGAGCAAGGGGCGGCCCCTGGTGGTTCGGCGGTATGTGTTGCGTATACGGAGGCTCGACTCTTTAATGTTTATTTGCCACCCTTCAGAAAAAAACTGAAAATACGGGAGAAATACGATAAAATACCTTTACGGGATGATAGCAGGATAAAACTGTAATACGGGAGAATCTCGGGAAAAACGGGAGGGTTGACAGGTATGATAATAGGTCTACTTAAAGATATACAGTACAAATTAGATTTTAATAACTGAATGGTCTTTATATATAGTGAATCAAATGCAATTAGGACGCAGTACAGGCTTTTAAAGTCCACTTTGCTGACAGCCTAAGTGTTCACTTGAAGTTGTCTTCACTCTCTGGTTAGAGGACATGCAAGTGCTGCAAGTGTGTAACCTAAGACCAAGATGCATTAGATTAACTTGTCAGCCGTTTATACTTTGCACATTTTACTGGCACTAATGCATTGCTTACATGTTTGTTGCGTTTATAAAGTTTGCTGTACACTTTTTGCTATTTGAACGCATAATCATCCATTAATAATAAGCATTTTTTTTTTACACTGTAAAACCTAAGTAACTCAAACCATTTGAGGAAATCGATTGCAACAAACCGTTTAAGTTTAAAAACTAATAATAATGAGTACTGTGAACTTAATCCACTTGAGGTAATAAAGCAATTTGAGCACAGTAAAACCCAATAAGAGGCGAGGCAGTGGCACAGTAGGTAGTGCTGTCGCCTCACAGCAAGAAAGTCGCTGGGTCGCTGGTTCGAACCTCGGCTTAGTTGACGTTTCTGTGTGGAGTTTGCATGTTCTCCCTGCCTTTGTGTGGGTTTCCTCCGGGTGAAAGACATGCGGTACAGGTGAATTGTTTAGGCTAAATTGTCCGTAGTGTATAAGTGTGTGTGTGTGTGTGTGTGTGGATGTTTCCCAGAGATGGGTTGTGGCTGGAAGGGCATCCGCTGCATAAAAACTTGCTGGATAAGTTGGCGGTTCATTCCGCTGTGGCGACCCTGGATTAATAAAGGGACTAAGCCGACAAGAAAATGAATAATTACAACAAAATGTCAAATAAAACATAAAAGTAACATGAAATTTTCTTGAATAATCCTTAATTAATCATAGTTTTTCCCCATTGTAATATAATATTATTTATATTTTTGTTTTAAATGTATATTTATATTTTATCATTTCCATTTGTCAGCTTCTTGTATGCATGTTGCGTTAATAATTAACCAACAAATAAACAAATACATTCCATAAGTTATATCAAAGAGTATATTTTGCAAGAAAATACTATCAGAGTCGTTTGACGTCAAAAGTCTGTGCTTAATTAGGAGAGTAAATATTTGATATTTGAATTGTGCGTGAAATCGTTTGCATCAGGAGTGCATCTGAATGCCGAGTGCGTGTATGTGTGTGCAGCTCAGTAGACTGAAGCAGGGCGAGTGTGTTCTTACTTTTAAAGGGGGTTTAACAGTCAGCTGGCAAACAGATCAAGTTTTGATGCTCATAACGTATGCATGATTGCTTATGCTAATTAAGCCAATTATGCTTAAATATGTTAATTATATTCCTGAGCGTTTCACAACAACTTCCCTGTAAGCAGAACATGTGGAACAGAGTGAAAGAACAAATCACAGTAGCGTTAACCTCACCAGAAACCAGTGTTTGTTGATTTTTTTGATGTTTTTAGGATTACTGAGGATTTCTCTGTCTCGAGGTGCTGTTGATTTTACAAAAAGGATTCAGTTTTACTGTTCAGGAGTGAGTTTCGCAAACAATGGCATAACTTGTGGCTAAAATACCTTATTATTATGCATAATTGGGTGGTATACGATGTAGAGATGAATGTTTCCTGAAGATCCATAGTCTGAATCACGCCAGTTAAAATGCAAAACTTCTGTAATGATGATCCTTAATGGGGTGGAGTAACAACAAATAAATAAAATATTTTTTTATCCTCACCAATGCATGCCCATATATCAGATTATGCTATTGTTATATAATTAGCCCCCTGAATTATTAAAATTAAACGCTGCTTTTATTCTAGCCGAAATAAAACATATAAGACTTTCTCCAGAAGAAAAAATATTATTAGACATACTGTGAATTTTTTTTTTGCTCTGTTAAACATCATTTGGGAAATATTTAAAAAAGAAAAAAAAAACTCAAAGGGGTGCTAATAATTCTGACTTCAACTGTATGTTATTTCAAGTAGTTCATAGAGGTGGGCAGTGGCCCAGCCAGAGTCCAGACTTAAACACTGTTGAGTTGTAGTTAATTTCAGACTTAAACTACAAAGAGTTGTAGTTAATTTCTAAAGATGAATGGGCAGAAATACCAGTGTAGACGTGCAAAAAGCTGTTTGATTGCTGTAATAGCCAATAAAGCCTTTGAAGATGAATATTTTAGATGAGCCACTTTTTGTTCAAATGTAAATAAAAGCTGAGAAATATATATATATTTTTTCACGATGCCTCTTTTACATCATCTTATTGATGCTGCGTCCCAAATCGCATACTTATGCACTATTCTACGCCATTTTGTAGTATCAATAGTGTAAGTAGTGTGTTCACACTGAAAACTCTAATAATAATAAGTGCACTTTAATCACCCGGATGATGCACTCATTCAGACGCCAAAGTGTAGTGTGTAATGATGAACACTTCACACACTCAACGACCGCAGGTTTGCTACGTAGCGGAAGGGGCGGAGCTATCGGCGGCACATGTTGGATAACTTTATTTATTTTGGATGGTGAAAGCAAAATTCTCCTACGAGAGTGATTATAGCGCCTCCCGATGGTGAATGCGGTTATACTCACAGCAGGTATTATTTGATGATTTGGTCGTTTATTTCACTGATTTGGCGACCGTCATCGGGGAAACGCTTAGTAAAAAAAACATTAGTGCGCCATTTGGGACGCCACTACATACATATACTGCCCTGTTGAGTGTGTAAGTGCATAAGTACATAGTGCATGAGTGCATAGTGTATAGTGTGCCATTTGGGACGCAGCTTATGTTTTATGTTTGTAGCATTTGTGTTGGGTAATAGTGGTTTCCGGATGCTAATGGTCTAATCCGATTCTGTATCGATCTTAGTACACGATGCAACTACAGAAGATTCAAGCTTTAAACTTAAAAAATAAAATCAAAATTCTTTGGTCACTTTTGAAGGAGATGCTAATGGTCTAATTCGATTAGATGGTCTATGCTAAGCTAAGCAACTATGCTTATTTGGTCTTACCTAATGTAACTAAAGAAGTCTAGCTTTAAAAAGAAAAAAAAATATTAAAACTCTTTGGTCATTTTTAAGTAAGATGCTAATGGGCTAATCCAACCTAATATGCTAAGCTGAGCTAAAAATGCTACGTTGGTCTTAGTACACATCTTTGGTCACTTTTGAGGAAGATGTTAATGGTCTAATTCGATTCGATGATTTAAGCTAAGCAACTATGCTTAATTGGTCTTACCTGATGTAACTAAAGAAGTCTAGCTTTAAAAAGAAAAAAAAAATTCAAAACTCTGGTAATTTTTTACTTAGATGCTAATAGTCTAATCTGATTTAATGATCTATGCTAAGCTAAGCTAAAAATGCTTGTTTGGTCTTAGTACATGATGCAACTACCGACGAGTTAAGCTTTAAATAATCAAAACTCTTTGGTCACTTTTGAGTGAGATGCTAATGGTCTTATCCGATTCAATGATCTATGCTAAGCTAAGCTAAAAAATGCACAGTTGGTTTAGTACATGATGCAACTACAGATGAGTCGAGCTTTAAATTAAAAAAAAAAAGTAAAATCAAACTCTTTGGTCACTTTTGAGTGAGATGCTAATGGTCTAATCCGATTCAATGATCTATGCTAAGCTAAGCTAAAAAATGCACAGTTGGTTTAGTACATGATGCAACTACAGATGAGTCGAGCTTTAAATAAAAAAAAAAGTAAAATCAAACTCTTTGGTCACTTTTGAGTGAGATGCTAATGGTCTAATCCGATTCAATGATCTATGCTAAGCTAAGCTAAAATTGCACTGTTGGTTTAGTACTCAATGCAAGTACAGAAAAGTCAAGATTTAAATAGAAAAAAAATATCCAAACTCCTTGGTCATTTTTTTTTTGTCTTAGTACATGATGCAACTACCGACGAGTTAAGCTTTAAATAATCAAAACTCTTTGGTCACTTTTGAGTGAGATGCTAATGGTCTAATCCGATTCAATGATCTATGCTAAGCTAAGCTAAACATGCTCAGTCAGGAAAACAAAATGAAAAAGTCAACAGTTTAAGCCTATGTGTTTTTATTACTATATTTTAAATGTACTGTTCCTTTAAAGACCCACAAGAGCCTTATGAACATCAGGATTATGAACACTCATTCAGTCACTCAGAAGTTTCATTTCCATCATTTTTCAAGTCTTTCTATCCGTGACACTGTTCAATTCACACCTAATCCTGACGTCTGTGCCTTTGCCGTGTAGGTCAGTGTCCGCAGATGCCACAACAGATGCCTTCAAAAACAACATCACCCTCTTCACACGCATCCTAGACCGCCTGCTGGACGGATACGACAACCGGCTGAGACCCGGACTGGGAGGTGAGCTAGCAGTCTCCGAATTAAATGGCTCGCTTTGATATCCAGTTAAAGAGAAAAGAAGCCGTGAAAGAGCAGATACAAAGGCTGAAACCATCCCTGCTCTTCTCCAGAAACCGGTTTATCTTTTCCTCAAGCATCACTACATGTGTAGCGTAATGGATTTGAACAAAGGCTCGGCTGTAACTCCCAAGAATTAACCTTCGGCGCATTGTTATCTGGTTTATCTCTAGCGGTTTTAGATTGTGTCTGATGTTATGATGATGAGGGCAGGGACACATTACGGTGCTTATGGTGACAACAGAAGTACATTAGCCCAGATTAAATAGAGATACCAGGCATCTGCTTTTATCGATTTGTGACTGGTCATGTACGCGGTGCTATTATGAAGCGGCTTTCTATCGAGTGGAATAATAGAAAGAATTTTTTTTTCGAATGTTTTGTCGCTGCTTAAGTGTCACTGACATTTTTCCATTAGCGGATTAGTTTAGCTAACAAAGGCCGTAATGACATGCCGGATTTCACTGAACCTTATGGATTTGTCTGTCGGTGGAGTCATTCATCCCTTAATAGGCAAAGCAGTGTCATAGGAAGGAAAAGTCACAAAAAAGTATCTCAGTAAAAACATATCAGTGGATTTAAAGGAATAACTCACCTAAAAATGAATGTTTACTCACTATTTACTCACCCTTCAGTGGTTGTAAACCTTTATGGATTTCTTTCTTATAACAAAAACCTACTCTGCAGAGCGGGATTCGCCGGAAATTTGCTATTGGAGGAGCTTGACTTTGACAGAGACTTTGTCAGTAACTTTGACTGTTCAAATGGACCAGTTTCTTCTTCCGCTGGATAATAACATGTAGGCCTAAGTGTCATTGTTGCCTCGTTTTCTGTTTGTAAGATATGTGTGTTATAAGTTGCAATCACCCCACGCTTCTTGTAATCACGTATCTATTATAGATCACTGCTTATACTGTATCTCTCAGGTTAAATCTATATGGGGCTGTTCACATATTGCATCCAAAACCATGTTAAAAACGTGACACGTGCTTCTTCCTTTACTGATTTAAATGGCACATAGGTCACTCCTTTTTTTATATTTATTATAAGTCTTTTGTGTCACCAGAATGTGTCTGTAAAGTTTCAGCTCAAAACACCCAGTAGAGTATTTATTATAGCTGTCTGAAGTGTCTGTATTATAGCTGGGAAAAGGTTGTTGCTGTTTTTTTGCACTGGGCCTTTAAGGCGAGTCATACCCGCCCACCGATCCCACCTGCCTGTCAGCAACATGCCTCAACACGCCCTCGGCTGCCTCAGGAAGCAGATCTCACGTAACGGTTGTGAGAAATACTACAGTAAGAACTTTACCAATCAGTATTTGACACATTTTTTGTGGAGTTGCAACAATGAGTTCACACACACACACAGCGCACAGACATGTAGACACACACACACACACACATAGCACAGACACGTAGCAAAGACACACACACACACATACATAGCGTAGACACGCAGACACACACACACATACATAGCGCAGACACACACACAGACAGTTAGAGACACGTGGCTGTGGTGATGAAGTGAATCTGAAGTGAATGGCTGTACTTCATTACACACGTGCACTGTTTTAAAACATGTTAAACTTGTAAAACTCACTCTTGATCACGTCTGATGATGATTGATGATCCTAGCAAACTGAACAGACCTTTTATTCCCGGTTGCTTTGCGCTCGTCCTGTCTTGTCGATATGAGTTTATGCATCACTGCAGAGACATGTTAATGCACACAGCTGTCAATCAATATTGGTGGGCGGGGGGACCGCATTCCTACAGAAAGTTGCGGTCAATGTGAAAACCCGTTCTAATTGGCCCACCATTTTATGCTGTTAAATTTGAAAAAAAAAGGACTGTGTGTGTTTATTTCCCCCCAGTATGACAGTATATACACTATACTATACACATGTATGTCCAAACAGCTTAAAAAGTAGATTTTTCACCATAGGTGCCCTTTAAATGCGTTTCTGAATTGGCGATCCTCTGCTGTTTGCCTTTGTTATGGCCACAATCAGCCATTCCTACACACGCAGCTCTGTCAATTTTCAAAATAGCTCAATTTTCTGCCACTGTGTAGATTAATACTGAATGTATCCCGTTATTACTTGTGGTTAGGAATAAGAGTAGAGCGATAAACTGGTGTTTACTGCATTGATTTATTGCATTCCTGCGTTGGGCTCTCACATACTCTCTGGCTGCTATTTCATAGCTATAGTGGGCTTTTCTGTCTGTCTCGTGCTGAACGCTGTTGACCAATCGCAACAGACTGAATCATCGGACCAATCACCGCAGATTAGCTTTGCGCTAAGGAGTTGTTTGGGAACAAATAAATCAGTGAACGATTCATATAGGAGTCGCTGGGATAATTAGGTAAAAAAAAATGCATATTATAAGACAATGAAAGTGTGTTTTGACCTTGCACACATATCAGCCTGTTGTTGGAGACCCCTAAAACCAAAATATGACCTTTTTTTAATGCAAAATAAGGGCTCTTTAAACTGGAGACACGCTGACATTGTGGCTTTTGCATCTTTTCTTACTTGGCGCAGAATACTGTTGCACACAAACCCCTTCTATTTCAGTGTAGCTCAAAGATTTGGTCTACTTTTTAAAACTTGAGAAAATAAAACACAATATCAGAGGTAGGGGATAACAGCTTTTTGAAAAATGGCAACATTTTATTGCATTCTTGAATCACTTAAAAACCTTAGATGTGGATTGAGTGAAGATATATGTGTATGTATGTTTGTACATGGTATGTAATTATAATTTTTTCTCTGTATTTGTATTTATTTTATTTGTTATTATTTTATTTATTCATTTATTTTGTTTATTAATTAATTAATTAATTAATTAATTAATTAATTAATTTATTTATTTATTTATTTATTTATTTATTTATTTGCAGATGTTGATTGTTTTATTTGCGGATTGTTTTGTGGGTTGTTATAAAAATTTTAAATGTTATTTGCAAGAATAAAAATACCATGATAAAAAAAAAACATCATTCAATACTTAAAAAAAGGAGAAAATCTGCAATATAAAAACTGCACTCAATAATGACATTCTGTTTAAAAAATGTGGAGCATAATCAGTCAGTATCGACCTTCACTTTATTTAACTTTAATAATATTTTGCTTATGTAAAAGTTTCAATGCCTAAAGCAATACCTGAATGCACTTTTTGGCAGATCTAAATTAGTTTTCTTTTTTTTTTTATAAAAGATATAAATGAGATCGAGTTTTTCAGACCTTATTAATACACAAACATCTATATAAGAAAAGGAAAACATGAAAAAGCATCATGTGATCCCTTTAACACCCATTTCTCCTGACAATAAAATTAGCTTTTGCTGCTTGTTCAAACTTATTTAAAATGAGTTGAAACAGCACAATTCTTAAGCTGTGTTTGGGACAACCTAATTGTTAAACCTACTTAAAATAGTAAAAATCGATTTGTCTTGGGACAACAAGGAATTTTGTGCAATCCAACTTTCTTATTTTACAGAGTACAACCCTATGCTTTATTTATGCACCAGATCAGAAGTGTGGTGTTTTCAGCTTGGTGTTGCTCCCCGGTTAGAAATATGGTGAACATATGTTTTTAACAGGACACACCCTGTACAGGACATTGCCTAAAATATCCAGGTTTTGGCTGTTTGCAGTAATTGTGAGCAGACTATTTTTTATGTTTCTTATATATATACACTACCTAACAAAAATCTTGTCGCCTATTCAAGTTTCAGGAACAACAAATAATAGCTTGACTTCTAGTTGATCATTCGGTATCAGAAGTGGCGTATATAAAAGGTAAAGGCCTCTAGATTACACTTATTTTACCCAAATAAAATATGATCATGCTTTGATTTTTGATGATTTAATTAGGACAGTAAGGTCTGACTTTGCTTAGAAAAATAATAGTGGAATATTTCAGCATATCTTTTATGCAGCAGATGCCCTTCCAGCTGCAACCCATTTCTGGGAAATACCCATACACACTCATTCACACACACACACACACATAATCACACACTACTGCCAATTTAATTTAATTTATTCAATTCACCCATACCACATGTTTTGGACTCTGGGGGAAACCGGAGCAGGGGGAGAACATGCAAACCCAGAATGCCAACTAGCCCAGCCAGGACTCAAACCTGTGACTTTCTTACTGTGAGACGACAGTGCTAACCACTGAGCCACTGTGCCGCCCCTTGGATTCATCTCATTTTTAAATAAGTAGTTTGAACAAGCAGCAAAATATTTTATCTCTCCTCTTTTTTTTTTTCTGAGAATAAACATGATGAAATGTGCAACCAAACTATCGGAATTATCATTGGAAAAAAAAAGTGTTTCCCAATTGGTCCAATTTCATATTTGTGTGTGTCTTTGCCGTATGCCGATATAACGTCAGAGCAAGACAAAACACACTGGGGCACATTTCCTAAATGGCGCGCAACACCTGTGATTGGTTTTATGCAGATTTTGCTCATCCCAGTGACTCAGAGGGGTTAGATCATTCACATCAATATAATGATTCAAATGAACCAAGCCACTGGGATGAATCAGAATCCCTGCCTCCCTAAATGTATTCACAGCACGCTCATGACAGTCAATTTATATCCTGATGCATAATTGACATACTGTACGTTAAATGTCGGGAATCTGTAAAAATGGTCAGTCTTCCTTACTTATCTCACTTGACTTATGACCCTGTAATAGTTCTTTTCGCGAGCTGTCTATTAGTATTGAAACAAAGTATTTTGATTTTTATCATCTATTGTTCATATTGTAATATATTTTCAGCGCCTATTTTTATTTTCATTGCAGTTATTTTATGTCTAATTCACTAAAGTCATGTTAGCCAGTTAAACTCCGCGTCCGTGACGTCATCGACATTAGCTTTAAGATTTAAAGGGCTAGCATTGCACCAGACCCCCGTAAG